GGAGCTAGAGCCTAAGAGATAAATGCATCCTACGTTGGTTTCTGCCGTGATGGATCAAATTCTTCTAATTGTTCACATCTCATTTCATATATATATATAAAAAAATACATTGAAAAACTCTGCAAACATGTCAACACATGGCCCACATTCCTTTGTGACAACTGTCCAGGCCGAGTGGCCGGTGCCCTTTAATACGAGAGCGGCCAGTTTTCCACTCAAAAGCACTACAGAGAAATCTGTTCAGGAAACCATGCGGGGGGGGGGGGGGGGGGGGGGAGTTTGCAGTCAGCCTCCTCCTCCAAATACCGTAGAGAATCCATATGAGTACAGAGTCTGTGTACACAGGAGGATAGCCAAACACAGTAAACCGCGTGAACCAAGGAGCAGTTGCACGCATTCAAGGGTCTTAAATGCCCGTAAAGCATCCACCTTTATTTTACAGCGTGTGTCTGTAGCTAATATTCACCATGAGTCGGATCTGTTAGTCATTATGTCTTGGGGACACAAAGGACAAAGCAAATTATTAAACTGAAAATGTCAGGACTGCACGCAAAGGGAACAAAAATATATTTGAGGTCAAAATTTATGGTCAAAACACTTTTCTTTGTGCCTGGTACAAGCTAAGTGCTAGGTAATTACTCATTATTGGTATTGTTACTTGAAGAGCTAATTGCCCAAAAATGACCTTTAAAATCCTGTCTTTTAGGCAATATTGAAAATAGCAAAATTGGAACTTTAAAATTTCAGTGCTAAGGACTAGAATCTTCTTCACAAAACCCTGGTCTAATGATCTGACCCTGGAGAATCCAGGGCTGAAAATAACAGTCAAAGTGAAACTCCCAGTAGCAAAGGTCAGGCTAAAAATGCAAAAGTTACTACCCATAGAATCTGTCGAAAATATTCACAGAAAAAATATCAGGCAAAAATACACTTTAGTAATATAAAATTTTTAACTGGAAAAATAAAATCATTTAAACACACTGTATAGAAATTTGTTCAAGAAGTTATATCGGGTTTACTAATCAGCCCTTTCCTCCCAGTATCACAGAACTCTACGTCCCCCGCCGACATGTGTCGTAGGAGATGTTTCTGCACACTTAGTATCCTATCTCACGCACTCATATGCACACTGAGGAAGGCTTTGCACTGTTTGTCTTGTAAATGTCTCACTGGGGGAGGGGGAGGCTGGTCCACAGAGGGCTTGTCTCACACTCATGAGGACCTGAGTTCAATCCCCAGGAACCTACATAAAGAGTCAGGCAGAGTGGCAGGCACCTGGAACCCCAGCAGTGGCAAGACAGGAGACAGATGAGACAGACAGACAGACAGACAGACAGACAGACAGAGCTCTAAAGCTCACTGGCCAGCTGGCTACTTAGCTAACGTTCCATGCCGATGAGGGGAGCTGTCTCACACCAAAGGTGGACGGCACCTGAAGGATGACACCTAAAGTTGTCCTCTGACCTCCAAACACACATGCATACACCACCAAATATACACAGACACACACAGGAAACCAACTGAATCATGTACCGTTCCAGCGGGGCACCTTGTCTTTCGCACGGAACATCTTTTAGAATCTCTGAACAAGAAAGGTTCATTTGCATACCAGAAAGTCCACGAGAGGGGATTGCTGGGTTAAAATAATCTTTCCATGTCATCACGCACCTGTAAAATCCGGGGACATGGGCTCCCAGATTATTTTGGAGTTTATATGTAGTTTTGTATCTATGTTTAATTTGTTTTTGAATGTGTCCTTTTCCCACTGAACTAAACTACTAGTTTTCTCATCTCCAATCTGATACTTAGCTAGAGAAATTCTGATATTTTGTAACATTTGTATTTCTATATATTTTTCCAGACTATCATTTGGGTGCCTAGTAAGTGCATTTTATCAAATCCCAAAGCCAGTGAGACTCTAGTAAGAGCTGTATGAAATTTATATATTAATTTCAAATAACTGTCATTTTTGATATTGAACTCCTACCCGTATAAACTACTTTTCTCGTTGCTGTAACCAAATCCCTAACAGAGTCAACCTAAGGAAAAAAAGGTGGAATTTGAGACATGGTGTTAGGGGGTGCAGTCCCTCGGTGACAAGGAAGCCATGGCAGAGTTTATGGTAGCAGTGCATGTAGCTGGGACTTGTTCCACAGTGTGGACCAGAAGACAGAAAGTTGGGTTGGAATGAGGCTAGCTATAGCCTATGATGCCCACTGTCCTGAAACCTGAGACCTACTTCCTCCAGCTAGGCCCCACTCCCTAAAGGTTCTATAACCTCCCAAAGCAGCACCAGTGGGGACCAAATTCTCAAACACATGGGTAAAGAAATATCTCACATCCAAGTCATAAAATGACCCCAAGATACGGCATTGCAATTCGTTCATGTATTGTTTTTATGTCCTTTTAAAAGACATGTAGGGCTGGAGAGACGGCTTGGTGCTTAAGTGCTTGGTGCCTAAGTGTGCTTGCAGAGAAGCCGGATCTGATTCCCAGAACCCACATGGCAGCTCACAACATCAATAGTTGCAGCTTTCCTGGGAGTCCAGGCATGCAGAGACATGCATGTAAGCAAAACACTCATGCACATAAAATAAAATACATGGTTTTCAGAAGAACGACTTTGTTTTGAAAAGTACATGAACTTTCAATGCATTATTTGTAATTATTGACTTTGTGTAAGTCTTTGCCTCTGTTGTCACAATCTTCTCACTTTGTTTGCCGCTACTAAATGAACACTCATTAATATCTCCATTTGCAGCCATTTGCTTTTCTAATAGATTTTTAAATTGCTAATTTTCAACCATTTATCCTCCATCTAGACACCTAACTAAATTCTCTTACAGTTTTCAAGTTTCAGACACTCTCTCTCCCTCACTCCTTTGTTTCCTCCCTCCCTCCAACCTTGAATTTGTGATTCTCCTGACAATCTTCCCATTGTGGGGACTGATTACCACCATACCCAGCTAGGGGGGGTTGTCTCTGTACCGTGTGTGTGTGTGTGTGTGTGTGTGTGTGTGTGTGTGTGTGTGACTAAATGGTTAGAAATGATTATTTTTCTTCTCTTTTTCAGAATTTTCAATCAGTTTATTTCTTTTAGCTGCAAGACAATATAAATAGCAATGGCAAGAGTCAGCATTCCTGTCTAGTCTTGGTTTAAGCTGAAACAGGTTTACTTCATTACCATTTGAGGTGACATGCGCTGTTCACTGTGTCTTGTTTCATTAGGAATAGTTCCTAAGTTTAATGAAAGTCTTTTTGATTGACATGCTTTCTCCTTTGTGTGTAGATTAATAACACATTCCCTACGATTAGCCTATATGAACATCCACAGGACTGCCATTGTTTGCCTCCTCCCACGATGCACTGCTAGAATCATGTTAGCACTGTGTTTGGAGAGTTTGCGCCATGTTCACGTCTACTGTTTACAACTAGGCTGGTATCTTATGAACACTGGAATTGCCATTCGTAAACACAAATCTGCCTGGCCCTGTTGTCTCTTTAATCACAGCTTTGTGACCACATTTTAATACCCCACGGTGCAACTGGTCCATTTACAGCCTCCACTTCTGCTCATCCTGCTGAGAGGGCTACAGTTTGCTAGGAAACCAACTGTTTCCCCATGTTTTCCCATAGAGGTGTTTGGGATGGTCCTTAACATTGCTTTAGCCTCTATCTATTCTCCTTTATCCTTTAATCGCAGCAGCAGAATCTGAACTTCAGTCTTTCCAGTTCCCAGCCCAGCTTTCACGCTGCTCCCACACCATGACCCTGAGTGATTAAAGCTAAATTTGTCAATTATCTAGCTTGTGTATTTGACTTGATTTCAAAGATGGATCAACTGGGGAGAATTAACTTTATGTAATTAAAACTATTCTAACTTTTATTTTAAAATAGCTGTCTTGGCATAAGTAGGATCGGCAATAATATATTCATGCTGAGCAAATCTTGAGGGAATTTGGGCTGTCTTCATTTCACAGACAGATTCATGGCTCCTCTCATTCTAAATCTGGTTTTTGACCAGCACCAATAACTTCTGAGAGAGAGGAAGAAAATCCTCTTTACTTGAGACTCTGGGTGTTATTTAATTCTTGAAAATGGTATTCAAACTAGCATGAGATTTCGCTGAGTTTAATAAAATACTAGCCAATTAGGAAGAAGCGTTCCTTCTATCTCTAGAGATGTATTAATACCATTAAAAAGAACATATGCTTGAAAGCTGCATGTGCACTTATAATTTTGGTCCCTTCTGAAAGTGAAAGACTGTTTAATTAAGATTATTACTATCTTTAAAGCGTTTTCTCAAAGGAAATGTTCTTCATTTTAAACTACGCATCTTCTCTGGAAAAAAATATTTGAAAAGAAATTTTGAGACTGTACAAGTACATAGGTTCTGATTACAACCTAAGGAAGACTTCCTCCACTTCTTATTATACCTCTATGCTATGATATAACCATGGCAGCTTGTATATATTCCCTCTTCTTTGTGACAATTCTTTAACGATGCTTTTTCACAAGTGACTTGGGCAAATATACCAATTTACAAAAAATTCAGGCAAAATGTTTTTCAAAAAAAAAAAGGAGGTTTTGGGGAGATGGCCCATCTGGTAAAGCACTGGCTATGCAGGCGTGAGGACCGCCAGCCCCCACATAAAAACATGTGGGCAACATGTGTCTGTGACCCCAGCGCTGGAGTAACAGGGGTGGGGGAGAGGACAGAGACAGGAGGATCACACTGGCAAGGAAGCCTAGCTCAGCTGAAGAGTGCCAGGATTAATGAGAAACTCTGTCGCAAAAGCAGAAGGTGGAAAGCAGTTGAGGAAGATACTCAGTGTTGACCTGTGTCCCTTGGCATGTGACCTCATTTAAAAATAGACCATTTCTGTTACAATTACTGAAGATGACGTCATAGTGTATAGGACTGGTGATCTTGTAAAATGGAGAATTAATGCCAACATGTGCATGGGGGAAACGCCAAGTGACTGGCGTCACATGCCAACATGATGCCGCTAGAAGCCAAAGGTTGCCAGAGACGAGCAGCAGACCCTCACGAGAAGAGAATGGCATGGGACAGGTGCTGTCCCCTACAAGGTGAGGGTCATCTTAAACCTAGACTTCTAGCTTCCAGAACTTCAGGATAGTCAATTTTCATTAAAGTCATCCAGCTTGTGGTACGCTGCTATCAGCCCAGCCAGATGATATACTCACATTACAAAGTTAAAGACATCTCACTTTGGGGTGTATACCCAAAGGATGCTCAATCATACCACAAGGACATGTACTCAGCTATGTTCATTGCAGAATTATTTGTCATAGCCTGAACCTGGAAACAACCTACATGCCCCTCGACCAAAGAATGAACGAAGAAAATGTGGTACATTTACACAATGGAGTACTACACAGCAGGAAAAAATGACATCTTGAAATTTGCAAGCAAATGAATGGATCTAGAAAACATCATACTGAGTAAGGTAACCCAGATCAAGAAAGACAAATATATATAATATGTACTCACTCATAAGAGACTTTTAGACATAAAGCAAAGAAAAACCAGCCTACAATTCACAATCCCAGAAAATCAAGACAACAAAGAGGACCCTAAAAGAGTGTCTGGAAGGCAATCTGCTCCTGGGGGTGGCAACAAGGTTCCACAGAGAAAGGTGGAACTTGATGAGGATGATGATGAGGATGATGAGGATGATGAGGATGATGAGGATGATGAGGATGATGAGGATGATGACGACGATGATTTTGATGATGAGGAAGCTGAAGAAAAGGTTCCAGTTAGAAAATCTGTGCGAGATACCCCAGCCAAAGGTGCATGGAAATCAAACCAGGGTGGAGAAGACTTAAAACCATCGATGCCAGGGTGGAAGGGTCAAGAGTCCTTCAAAAAACAGGAAAAAAACCCTGGAACACCAAGGGGACCTAGTTCTGTGGAGGACATTGGGGCAGGAATGCAGGCAAGTACAGAGGGAGGTGGCTCTCTTCCCAAAGTGGAAGCCAAGTTCATTAATTTTGTGAAGAGTTGCTTCCGGATGACGGACCAGGAGGCTGTTCAGGATCTCTGGCAGTGGAGGAGGTCTCTTTGAGAGGATGGTTTGAACAGTTTGAAATATTCCGTCTTACTTAATTTCTGTGGCAGTTGATATATCTGGCTGTCCTTTTTGTAGTGCAGGGTGAGAACTTTCCCTGCTGTGTTTGATGACTGTTGTCCAGGTTCCATTGCCAAGAAAAAGAGAGAGAGAGAGAGAGAGAGAGAGAGAGAGAGAGAGAGAGAGAGAGAGAGAGATACATGGATCTAATCTACGTGGGAAGTAGAAAAAAATAAAAAGATCTCCTGAGTAAATTGGGAGCATGGTGATCATGGGAGAGTGTAGAAGGGAGAAGGGAAGAAGAGAGAGAGGAGATAAATATGTAGATCATTAAAAACAATTTTTAAAAAAAGAAAAGAAAAAACCAAGTTAAAGGTATCTCCTCTGGCCTTGGCCACCTCAGCTTCTTAGGGCAGAAGACACTGGCGCCACCTGGTCCCCACTGCTTTGACACCGCGTTCCTGTAATCTCCACTGCTTCCTCTGGCAGTCCCTCACTCCTCTTCCTCCACTTCCTGAAAAGGTCAGTGCTTCAAAGTTTTTCATTACTAGTGGTAACATTTTGAATAGCAAGTTTTTACGAGGCCTTTATAGGCCTAGCATGCTTTAAATAGCATCTGATTCAGCATTCACAATCCCCTGGAACAAAATGTTATTTTCTACCCCATCTTACAGGTGAGAAAACTGAGGCTTGGTAGGGTTAAGCAACTTGTGAAAAAAAAAAGTCACACACAATAGGTAAATGGCAAAACCAGGAGTCAAACTGGTCTATCAGGTTCCAAGCACCAGCTCCCTTTTGCAGTGCCTCTTACTGTCTCTCCACAGACAGCACACTCCCATCCCCCTACAGAGTCTTACCAAATTCTCTTACTTTTTCTCCTCGGTTTCAAGTGATCCTGTGGACTCTGCCTCACTACCATTTCGTCCCATAGTCCAACTCTGAGCTTCTATCCATACACAATGTGAGCAGCTCTCGCATCTGTCCAAACGGAACCTCTGTGCTCCCAAGTGATTCCTCAGTCTCTCTACGCACCCATGCTTGGAAACTTCACACATCTTTATTCATTTCTGCCCCTTGACTCTTTCGACAATCAACTGTATTAATTCTACTCCAATACATTTCTTTATTTTCTTCTCACCAATCTTCCTGACTAAATGGTACTAATAGACACATAGCATCCTGTCCTCCCTCTCATCCATCCTCCAACTAGCCCTCCCTAAAACACCCATCTGCTCAGGTTGTTGAGTTCGGGTCTAAGGCCGAGGGAGAGAGCTGTCATGAACACCTAAGCTCCAGAGCCCATGTGAAAAAGCAAGGTGCATGCCACATGCTTGTAATCCTAATGCTGGAGAGAAAGAGACAGGCAAATCCCTGGGGCTCGCTGGTAAGCTCCAGACCAGTGAGAGATCCTGGCTCAGTCTCCAAAGTGGATGGCACTTGAGAAACGACACGTGAGGTTCTTCTCCAGTCCCCGCCACACACATGTGCATAGACACCTACCACAGACACAAAGAATCCAGTACAAACTCCTTACACAGGCAAAGATCTGCCCCCAGTCCATATACCAAACAAAACTTCCAGAAGTTCTGCACACACTAAGGCTTTTGCACTAACAGTTCCCAGGCCATACCTCCTGCATCTCTAATCTTTCCAAGTTTTGTTCACATTTCTCCCTGAAACTTGACCTCAGGTATCGAGTAAGGTGTGGGCGTCTCTCCCCCTCTGAACTTACTGCACATGGCGGTCATGTGAGCCAGTGTGGTTCCCTGCACTGACTCAGCTGTTTGTCTGTACAAATCCCCGTTAGTCGGAGAGCCCCTGCTGGACCATGATTCACCGTGGCCTCTACCAAAGCACTTAACCCAGGATCTAGTGAGGACCAGCTACTTCTTAGCTTAACTTTTAAAGACTCTGTTTAATGTATTAGCCAATCTCACTGCCAGACTACTCAAAATTCACAGAGGTCAGAGCAACTAAACCTTTAAAGTAGATTCAAATAGCCAAACCTCACAGGTGACCTGGCTCACCCAGGTCCCTTGATGGGCTAGCAAAGGCTGTCATTATCCGCTGTAACCCTGTGGGGCACACTCAAGGCTAAGCCGTCCCACTGGCACCAGAGCCCATTTCTCATCTTTCCCACCACACCCTGGAAGGTAAGAACATGCCATCACCCTTCATAGTCCAGGCTACACGACACTAGGTGAGGGCCTGAACTTCCCCAGCATGATAAAAAGATAACCGGTGCCAAATTATTCTAAACTTGTCAGATCACATTTTCCTCTGTTGGCCAGACTACTCCTGTGCCCAGAGGCCACCATCAGGAGGCTCCAGTGTGTCCCTGAAATCTTGATTCAGGGAAAGTACAGTGTCATGTAAGAGACTTGGTGGAAATGCCAATGTCTTATAAGAATGCTGGTCAGTCCCCACTGATCCTTCATCCAGAGCCCAGAGGGTGTCTGGGAACAAGTTACTATGTTATCCCTGTAGATTTGAGAGTCCCAGGGTGGGGACAGTACCGTTCTCAAGGCTTCCAGATAGCATAATGAATAAACAAAAACAGAGGGTCAAACCATCAAAAGCTGGACTTTTTAACCAGATCTGCTTACTTCCCATCAAAGAAAGCGAGGCTAGAAACTAGTCTAAAAGCTATCTCCACCATCTTCTACCCAACGATAGTGTCATAGGCATTGAGACTGCCGATAAAGTAGGTAGAATTTGTTAGGGACGGGTATTTACCTGTCTGTATGTATATCATGCTGCCCAGCGATGAATTATGATTATTAGGAAACAAGGGTTCAGAAGAAATAGTAATGTCCCAAGGTCACACCGCTTCTAAATGCTAGTCATTCTAAGACAACAGGGAAAGTAAGAGAATACCCAGTTTCAAAGGAAGTGAGGTATTCATAGAGGCCCATGGGCAGCTGTGCATCCTGGGTAATGAGACAAGACGCCGGTGGAGAAGCAAGCTGAGCTGGGAGTCATATGAGGTGACTGACTTTCTCATAAATGACTGGGAACTTTTATTAATGTTTTAATCAGGGGGTGTCACAGCACACTTGTGTTTTAGAGATGGGATTATGATCTAGAGGGCATAAGACCAAAGGAAAAGAGACAGTCAGAAACCATAGAAGTTATCATGGGAGTGATGATGACGAACCTGTGCCATCTCCATCTCTCTGATGAAAGAGAGAGCTCCTTGGAATACAGAGATACTCAGGAAATACTGAGCAGATGAAATAAATCTCCAGGTCCTATACTGCACAAGGCCTTTGCTGACCGCATCTCCAGTCTCTTCCCCCATTCCTCAGGCTCCAACACACAACCGTCATGTGGCTGATACATGGGTGTTATATCAAATTGTGCAGAAGACACAAGAATGAACAAAGGCCTTCTCGTTTGGAAAAATGGTATCAAATAAAAAAGAAAATGGAAAGATAAGTGTTGTTGACGATTAAGAGAAGGTGATGTAACCAGAGTCTGGGATCTTGTAGAACAGAGTGATCGAGGAAGCTCTCTATGGAGATGCCATTTGAACTGCTGGAGCCACGTGAAAAACAGAGACAGAAGTAGCTTGTTGAATTACGAGAATCCAAAGCTGTCAGGGGTAGCCAGAACAAACGAGCAAGGGAGAAAAGTAGGTTAGGGAGAAGCAGAGGGCAGATCGTTTGTAATTTGTAAAGGTTAGGAATCTAGATTTTTACGCGAAGCTGGTGGAAGAAGGAAGTGACTTCATCAATTGAAGTTGTTAAACAGCCACTAGGCTGCTTCATGGGAAATACAGGCAGAACACGCATGAAAGCTAGGGATTTTTCTGCACATATGCAGAACAAAGAGAAACAGGCCCAGTGCTCGGGACTGCTAGCTGACTTCTAATGGGCATATGTCACACTTGGGACTGCTAGCTGACTTCTCATGGGCATATGTCACTTGTTTGCCAGACCTTATCATCTTTGTCTCATTTCTTCAGAGAAGCAAGCCCATCCCACATCAGTATTTCCTCTTCCAGCCTGCAGATTCCTGCACAGACAAGATTGCTATGGCCATCCCAGGCACTGGAATATTTCCCCTTGCTCCAGTTTCTGGTACATATCCCTTGAGATGAGACACCAAATACATGCTGTGCCCACATATTACAGGGACTATATGACCCACAGCATAAATAAAGTAAGGCTAAGAGATTTCCAGAAGGGGCTGAGGAGATCACTCAGTCAGTAGAGTGCTTACCACTTTGAATGTGATATTCAGTATCCACATAAAACGCCAGGTATGGTGGCACACACTTGTAATTCCAGGGGTAGCAAACACAGAAGGATTCGTAGGAATCTCTAGCCAGCTAGCCTACCTGAACCCAGAGGCCCCTCAGTCCCATTGAGAGACCTATCTAAAAATAAAAATAAATTTAAAAAGACACACAAGGTGGAGCCAGAGGCACATACCTTTAATCCCAGCATATAGAGAGCTGAAGCAACCGGATTTCAATGAAGCTGAAGCCAATTTGGCCTATATAGTGAGTTCTAGGCCAGCCAGGGCCACATAGTGAGATCTTATCTTAAAAATAAATAAATAAAAGACCAGGCAGGCAATTTCTGAGGAAGAATGTCATTTCATCACATTGCCTGGATAAGTCACCATGGAAGCCCTTACAACCCCATTGTGAAATTCAGAGTCTGGCAATCACTAACACCATCGTAGTGGGACGTTAGTCAAATTGAAGAGCATCTGCCCACGGGGGAAAAGCAACACAGATATTAGCGGGTGCCAATATGGGGGGGGGGCTGTACTGTGTGGTAAGACACATACCAGGGTTCATCATTGTGGAAGAAATGCTTTCTGAGATGGGAACACCAGTCCCCTCATCAGGCAGGGACTCCAGAAAGAAAGAATCAAGATACTGCAGCAAGATACAATTACGATGGGTTTTTACAAACATCTCTTTGGAAATAATCCTTGCTAAGTAACAGTCTTACTTTAGTATTGTTATACATGTTTCTCAACAT